TTCCTTTAAACAACAGTCCTAACCAAAAGTTTGCGTACCGAGTTCACTTGAACAAAAGGAAGAAGCCTCGATTACTTCAGTAACTTATCCAAGAACTTGAGTTGATTATCTGAAGAGGTTTTGATCAAATTTTTATCGTCATTTTTCTTTGTTTTCAGGTCAATTTAGAGCATTTTATTGACATTTTGTCAATGTTTTAGGCCTTTAGGCCATAAACCACCCTTACTAATGACCATAGCAGCTGGAGTGCCATAGCCCTCTGGGAGCACTGGGTGCGGCTCCAGAGTGATCTCCAGAGCAGTTGCCGCATTTGGGCGCTCCGCGGCAACGCCCCGGTGCGGCGCGGTGGCTGTGAAAGCTTTTCGATCACGACACGTCATACTTTCCCCGAGGCCATTACACACTTTTTTCTCCTCTCTCCCACTTTCATACCTGATTTGCCATCGCGCATGAGTGGATATTTTCGCTGCGTATTGGCGGGGCCACCGGAGATGGAAGCCTGCGGGAAGGAGACGCGCAGAGAGCCTGCACGAACTTCGCGGTACTTGGGGCTTCCGGACCTGTCTCAAACCCGCTAGAAGCCTTTTTTCACGGGATTATTATACAGTGCTCTGCGCTTTATGATCCTTCCTGGAATGGGTAAATGGTTTTGATGTACTTATCGCCTACAGCAGAAAAATTATGCTCATCAAAACTACACCAAATGGATTCCAAAAGGTAGCACGCAAACTGTTCAAGAATAACGAACAAAATGTTCGCGAAGAACACTGGGATTAATAAAATGTTTTAACAAAAAATTGTCTTCACAAATCCTGCCATTACATTCATACAGTGGAATAGTTACTTTTTACTGATTTAAGTTCTGTTTTTAACAACTAAGGTCATACAGCGACCACTGTAAGTTACATTGCTTTTTTTATCTTTCGGGGTAACGATAGCAGAACTTGCATACTCGTATATCGACACAATTCATGCCCCGGAAGGGATTTGAATCCCCAAACATCCAACTGAAGTAACCTCGGTTATCCAGGCCGGCGATAGTGCTTTACAAAAAAAATTAAAAGAGGTTCAGTTCCATAAAATTAAATTTTTATATACATTCGCTTGTTGCGTGAGATTAGCACATATTTAATAGTAACGGGTTCTTCTTCGGAACCCTGCCGTGTCATGACATTCCTGAAATGTACCAGTATGTAAATCAGCCCGTACGGAGATGCAGAATGAGAACAACGGGGAATAATATAAATCACATACTGGCATCTTTATATGAAATTAAGAAGCTTTGTTATATACATTCGCTTGTTGCGGTGAGATTAGCAACATATTTAATAGTAACGGGTATCTTCTTTGGAACCCCGGCCGTGTCATGACATTCCTGAAATGTACCAGTATGTAAATTCAGAGCCAGTACGAGATGCAGAATGAGAACAACGGGGAATAATAATATCAAAATACTTGGCATCTTTTAATGAAATTAGAAGCTTTTTATATAATTCGCTTGTTGCGTGTGATTAGCACAATATTGAATAGATAACGGGTTTCACCCGCCGTGTCATGAACATTCACTGAAATGTACCAGTATGTAAATTCAGCCAGTACGAGATGCAGAATGAGATAACATAGGGGAAATAATATAATTCAATACTGCTCTTTTTAATGTTTATTATATACTTCGCTGTTGGTGAACCACTTTAATAAGGTCTCCGAACTGCGTGTCACATTGTTACCGTATGTAGCACAAAAGTAGAATAGATACGGGATGAATAATACTGCAATCTAATGATTGATGTTTAACGTTGCTTCGATCTAATACATAATGAAACCACTGACACTCTCATCCCAATAGGCTGCTTGGATTTGTAATTGGGTGAATTAGCGCAATTAGAAATCCATCAGTAGAATTAATTGTTATGAACTATTCACCATTCAAAGATAAGGTAAAAACAAGTTTGGTTCCAGGATATTGCAATAAAGTTCAATTTCAGATTCTCTGACCAATATGTTTTTTCTAACTTCGTTTTGTAACCATTGTAGTATAACTTTAAAATCTCAACGTAACCCCCTACTTTTTTGAACAAATAAGGGGACGATAGGTTCCCAAAGCTACATTCGTAGCATTTCCCAGAACCGATCAATTTTGCATTACTAACTCACCTTCGAAAAAGTGTATAATTTATATGAAATATTATTACACTTTGGTGAACAGCCGTGAAATGAATTCAGCCCAGTCAATAAGTTGTTTTTATGGGCACTTTGTCACTTGCGCCTCTTTGCGTTTTATAAAATCATTTTCTAGAGAAAAGCAAAACCGTGTTCGATTCTCTTACAACAAGCAAAATGATAATTATATACTCTGTTAAAACTATTACGCCTCCTCTGAGTTACAGAGTTTCCCTTGCAGCGCACTCGCTGCACGTGGCACTCGCCCCGCGCGCCATGACGCTGAGCTTAGGCGGGGCGCAGGGCAAGCCGCGCGAAGGGCGCACAGCGCACGGGGCGCCGGTGGGAAGCGCACTTCACAGGGCGCCAACGTGCGACAGCGCCCATGGAGAGTGATCGGATGTGATTGGAGTGGGCGGGGTGATTGGTGGGAATGAATAGGTGCGGGCGAACGGGGGGGGCGGAAGAGCGGGTTGAAGGGCGGAGTGGAAGGGCGGGATAAAGGGGCCGGAGTGGAGGGCCGGGATAAAGGGGCGGGAGGGATAAGGGCGAGAAGGGCGGGATAAAGGGGACGGAGTGAAGGGCGGATGGGGTGGACGGCGATAAGGGCGCGGAGTGGGAAGGCGATCGGGCATAAGGGCATAGGGGCGGAGTGGAAGGGCGGGATTTAAAGGGCGGTGAGTATGGAAGGGCGGGAAAAGGGGGCGGAGGTGGCCCAAGGGCGGGATAAAGCGAAGTGGAAGCGATAGGGATGAAAGGGCAGGGTGATTCGACACGGGGTGAAAGGACTAGGTTGCGGGGTGACAGTGAAGTAGGGCCAGGGCATTAGGAGGTAAAGATTTTCGGACGAGGGACGGGACGGGACGGAGACGACGGCGGGACGGGAGCGGCGGGACGGCGCGACGCGGGACGGGAGGCGGGGGACGACGAGACGAGCTGGGGAGAAGCTGCGCGGGTGGCGTGAAGTGGATACCTTTCAAACAACCGGCTGAAGTCCGGACCCTACCTCTCTACCCTAGTAAAAAAAAATAAATAAATAAAAAATTAAAGGTTTTCATTGGTGGAAGGCTTCAGTCATTTCACCTGCTCTTCCGCCAGACCACTTTCAGAAAAATTTTTAATGCAATAGTTCATGAAAAGAAGGCCATTCAACGAGAAATACGTACGCAATTTGGATGAGGTGTTTCTCCCATTGACGGCACGAATGAAAGCAAGGGAGGAAAGAGCTGATAGAAAAGGGGAATGCTCATACAGCTTTTGTGAGATTAAATTTATTGATTTATTTGAAGTTAGGGATGAATTGTCGAAATCCCTACCACGGCAGCTAGTGTCGAAAATCCTACCACGGTCCAGATTCGACCGTAGGTCATCCCAATGAGAGGCTCTGCAGTGGCATCAATTGACGCCCTGTGCCATCTCAGCCGGTTCGGAAAGTGAGAACCTGGCTGGACAGTGGGGATAGGAGGGGGGTTGATGTAAAAGACATCGCTCGTGGGCGTGGGCGTGGGCGGACGTTCACAATGGCGGTCAGCCCCATCCGAAAGGTCGCGTCGCAGTCTAGTGTCAGATGCAGCTGCAGCTACTCGGAGAGAAGGCGCGAAGCATCCGCAGCACAGCCGCTGTATCCCCCATATTGTACATTGTATGTTCTCCATTATACAGTAATTCATTTAACAATTTCTTTCCACGATTCAAAGTTAGGCTGCTTTTATCGAGCTACATATTGTGAATAATATGATTTTGATGCAAACAAATGCGTTTAGTTAGCTCTATCATGGAACGTAGAAAAATTAGAACCAAACCCCGAGCAATGCTATTCGTAAACCAATTTCTTCTACTATATTCACGTAATTGCTACAAATCGACATGACAAAAGCGAGAAGCTTTTCAACACAACAGTGAAATATGTGCTGTGCCGAAATGTCAGACGACGAATACTTTATTTAATTTACTCTTGTTTGGTTTGTACCTCTCAGTTCTGTATGACTGACAGGTTTAGATGATGATGATGATGATGATGATGATTATTATTATTATTATTATTATTATTATTTCAGGGTCTCTTTGCAGTAAACGAAAATGCTAATCGCGTCTAGTTTGCTCAAGGAGGGTCAATATAATAGCAGGCAGTTTCGTTTTGAACGTTTCCGATGAGAGTTCTCTTTGCCGAGTGAGAAATGGTGGCTGACAGAATTCCAGAAGTTTTGTTATAGAATATTGCAGAAGGAACGTGAAGCATAGGATTAGCCAGGGTGCTTTTGTGATTATTATTAGGTATTTATTTAAGGATTTTGAGAATTTGGGTTTTGGACGTATCTTGTTCCACTATAGTTCGCGCGCACGTCCGGATGGGGGGACGAACAAGATTGGTTAATAGAGATTTCGGGCCCGTGAAATGATAAGATTACTACCGTAAGTGTATTACACGTTTTTGCTTCGGTAGATGATCTTCCGTCGCTAGATAGATGGACCCGGTGGCCAACTAGCGGCGTTTTCCCCAACCAAGTGCCTCCCACCAGCACGACACCGTCCCGGGCAGGACATGCTCTAAACTGCCGACAAGTGTGACAGTGAATGTGTAAGTAAGAGTGAGGATAGGACGAGGAATGGGAAGGATAGATGGCGCGTGGGCCGCTTAGGGTACTGCTTAGCTATTCGTCTGGTGTGGATCGGAGAAACCACGGAAAAGTACCGATCAGAGCAGCCGCTTGCAAGAAGTTTCCTCCGGACAGGAATTGAATTCGACCTAGCTGACAAGCTAGTGTCGAAAATGTTGCCATCCTCAGGACTCAAAGCTCGAAGCCTCCCGGTCATGCAGGGACATCAGTTCATGCCCAGAGCTACCCATTCGGGGCGAACAAGCGAGCATATCCGCTTGCGGCGACCGCCCACGCCGCCGCGCCGGCTGCTGGAGTCAGTTGCCCCTCGGCCGCCGCAAGAAGCGCCGGCCGAGAGCGCCATTTGTAAAACGCCCCCTGCAGCAGTGGAGTCGGCACCGCCCACGCCCACGCCCTCGCTCTGCCCACTCGACCCTTGACCTCTGGGCTCGCACGTGGCCCGCGGCGCCCACCGCCGCCTCCTCATCCACAGTCGCAGCCAGTGCGACGACCATCTCCGTCGAAATCGCCCTCAACACCGCTGCCTCCAACGGCTAGCAGACACCGCTACCAATACCATCGCTGCCAACGCCGCCAACTGTGCCGCCACCACAGAACTTCTACCACCCTCATCTCTAAAGTTTAAAAACAACAACTACCACCTCTAAAACAGCCATCACTTCCTTCCATCGCCACAACCACAACCATTACGTAATCATCATCACTCCCCCGCCACACACACATACACGTAACGACAGCCGTGCCTGTTCGGGCGCTGTGCTCCGCCCCAGGCATCGCGTGGATCTCGCGACGGGCGGCCGAGAATACACAGGCCGCTCATCGGCTGCGCTCCGCTTACAGCCCGAAAGTGCGTGGGCGACTCGCAGCAAAGCGGGCAGCGCAATAGCGCCCCAACTCTGCCTCCTTAGATTTCAAACCTCTCTAGGCGTAATTTCTGCTAAACAGGTAGTGTAACGAAATAGGAGCGGGCGCACCTGCAAAACGTTTATCCGTGACCCCTTAATAAAAGCGTGTAGCAAACACAAGTAGTGTTAGTATCTTAAATAATTAAAATATCCCCTAAAAATAGGTCCTCTTTACCTGGGCCAGCCAGCATTGCCTTGCGGACCGAACATTACGCCACTATGTGCAACGACGTAAATTACACCCGTTTCTTCTAACTTCGTCTCATTCGTCAGCCTCTCACGTCGCCAACGTGCCGTTATGTACTCATCTCTTATCTAGTAAACAGTTTATAAACCAGCTCCAATAAACCTACACATCAGGGAACACAAATAAAACAAATAACGAAACATAAATAAAAAATATAATTTATCGTGTAATACATACTTCATTTTAATGTGATGAATAATTGATCTTTTGAAAAAAAGTTAATTTTTTTTAAAACTATCTTGAAACGATTTAAGAAAATTTGTATTGAATTTGCAATATTTGATTAGAGGGTACGGATAGTACGTAATGTGCTAGCCACATTATTTTTTCAGTGTAACGAAGTAAATGCGATTATAACACAGTAATGTAACGTCAAATTAATTTTTCCCCATACCACGCCACAAACAGTTTTTATCAGTATTTGACGTGAATAAATAAATACTATAAAGATCGTAGTGAGGTAATGGAAATTTCAATTGGATATTGACTCGCTATTTATAAACCTGACGTTGCAGTGCGGGGTAATAGATACCTAAGGTACGAGTGGTTCCGTGATAGGGAATGACTTCTTACGTAAGTAGAAATATTCAAGCGACAAGAATAGTTTGTACTGTGTAGCGAAAAATAAAATAATGGATCCATTCTTTCTTGTAATTCTGTAGCATTAAATAGTGGAGAAAGGAATCTATTGAATACGCTTTTTTATTTTAAAGAATTTCTATCCTAGCTACAGTACATTTCAAAGATCACTTACCAAAATTTATGAACATTTTCATAACTTAAATAAAAATTACTTTTCATTAGAACAAAGACAAAGTATTAAGCATTTAAATTATTACAGTGGGGCGTAAAAATAAAAAATAAGTTCTTACACTTGCACTACCCACAGCATTGTAGCAAGAACTGAAAATATCACCAAGCCCATTCGTCTACTATTCTCGCCTATAGAATAAAATACGCGACACAAGTGCAATAATTTGAGATGCAATTCTAAACCAGCCTCTTAAATTGCAGAGTGAAAATATTGCATCGTGCAAGTACAATTTCAGCGTTACATGCAGTTGGCATTGTTAACGTGAGACTTATTAGACGTAATGCATTCGACTCTTGTCCTTGGCATTGCATAAGTACGAAGAACATTGCAGGTTCAATACCAACATTACTAGTCACTTTCAGCAAGTGGCAGCAATATACCCGTATCTGAAGATTTTCTATAAAAATCTCTAACCACCCGGTGGTGCTTTTGTTGTCTCAATCCTTGAGCGAAGTCGTGTGTATGATACTAATAATCACGCTATGCTCACCAGAAAAACAATCTCTGCACCATGACTCATTTCAAACGTAATAACTCCTGGAAATAATCAGTTAACCTGGAATTTGATACGTTAAAGGACGATGTTTGCTCCCAAAATTCTTCGTTTGATCATTGATTTACCTTCAACAAAATTCCATTCAGTCTAGTTGCCTTCAAAATAAATTTTAAAAAGTATACCCAACAGAAATTTGTTACGTCAATTTAAAATACCGATAAACCATACATACATTAATAAAGTTCGGCAGTATCACCAGTAATATAATTTTTTTATTTGGAGCAATAGTAAATCTGAGCAATTTCTTTCTCTCTCTTCATAAGCTATTTTCGTAGTTCACTCTACATCTGTTGTAGTAAGAATGTGGGAAAGAACATTTTGGCTCAAAATATGAAAGGTTTACTATAGAAAATCTCAAAATAAATTAAATATTTAAACTATGATTGTATTTATGATTTATGAGGTTCAGTAAAATATTAAATTAACGTGAATTTAAAATTTCGATTTTTTCATGCATGCCTCACACACTAGTCTGCTTTATTCACAAACTAAATTTCTTTATATTAACTGATCCTTAATGCCGCTTACACTGGAGCGCTTTCTTCGTTTTTTTATCTCATTCACTAGCCTACTTTCAGCTAGAACCGATTTATCTATTTTTCAAGAAGTCTTCGGGAAGGACAGAAGTGGCACCGATGAGCTGAAGAAATTCCCTTACAGGTACCGTTCCATAAATCCCTTCCATTTACCGTAAATGTAACAAAAATAACTCACGAGAACCTCTACTTGCAAATCATAAGCATTATAAATTTCCAGTAATATGACAATTCCCACCCCTCGGAAGTTCTATTAAATATGTATACTACAAGTGATCTTAAAAGTTCGCTTTAAGTGAATTACCTCGTAGTTACTGTTGAGTTAATTCTAAATACAACACTTAAAGTTTTTTCCAGCATGCATTCAGAAATAACAGTAAAATCTGTTTCGAAATCCTGCACCCAATGTTGCTTCGTCTGGTGTACGTTCCTTGAAGGGTTCATTATCCGCACATACAACTCATTCGCAAAATTGGTTCTTGTGCGATTTGTTCTCAGAAAGCGTATCTTTGTTATCCGATCTCAGGCTGTACCGCGAATGCAATTGTAGTTGCATTATCCCAAAGCTATCGTACCTGAGCCACAAGTTCTCGACGTATTGATCCTCACGAGAATTCAATTCCACAAAGACAGCAGAGACGGAGTATTGCTGCTGTTAGTGTACAGAGATTGGATGCAATCGTGGTTTTCCCCGTACAAGTACATAGACTCAAATACGCACATTCAAATTATTCGCAAAATTGTCCTTAGTTAAAATTGTTCACCGTCAAAGTTGATTTGTTACCTGATCACGCAAAAAACTACGACTTCATTTACACGACAAGTTGGACGATCCCATAAGCTATCATCACCGAGACCCAATTTAGCGTCGTATTCATCCCCACGAAAACCCAATTCCACGAAGACATCAACAACGGGGCATCACTGCTCCTGGTGTGCAGAGATTAGAAGCGATTGCGGTTTTCGAAGTACAATATTTCTCTGGAGGTGGCGGGGAGGGAGCGGCGGCTGCGGAGGCACCGTGCACCGACTACGCCAATCTCGCACGATGCAGAGGTCTGCCCTCTGATCAATATTCAATCTGGGAACCGCCGCCGCCGCCTCCTGCGCGACCTCCTCCGCGGTCACCCCCTCCCCCGCCCCCGCTCCTTCCCCTATTTTATAGTTAGAAACAAATTAAGTTTTAAATGGGTAAACTGATATTGGTTTTCCTTGGAGTTGTACGCCCATATAGCACATTAGGAAAAGCAAAATAAACAAAAGTCGAAACATATTAACCCTGCAGAAATGGCACCATCATTATAAACAAATCGTCCCAATAACTCTCAAAGTCTTTAAAAAAACATGATTAATGTAATATTAACTGAATAATCAAATAGTGACATAATAAAAAGCAAGACACGCGATACTTAAAAAGTAAACAATATCCGGAGTCAATGGTCGATTCAGGCTGTCAAACGTCCGCTAGAACAAATTAAAAATTTAGACAATCCGGATCAAAAAACAATTTTCGAGGGGGCTTTTTTTTTCTTCTATTAACCCAACCCGCGGGGAAAAAGGAACACGTGTGTGTAAGGCACTAGCCATGATACAGATTTCACGGAAAGTTCACACGTTACTTGAAAGAATATCTGGCACGTTTGTTTCAAACACAGAAGTAAGCAGGGTTTGTTTTCGACGTCCAATTGTTGTGTCCCTCGCCAGCTCGCTCGCCAATCCAGCGCCGGACTGCCCCACTGCCCGTAAAACACCTCGCGCCACGCGACCAGTTCTTTCACCTTCTCCCCCGGCGGGAGGGTGGAGGGGAGGGGAAGGAGGAGGAGTGCAGAGGAACAAGAGAGGCCGGCGGGGTGCAACGGAAGGGCGTTCGCAGAGCGACGCGCAATGTTAGGGCGTCGCCGAACGCCACTAACAGGAAGACGTTGAACCAAGGGTGCCAAGTAGGGCCAGAAGCCAGAAGCGGCGCAGGCAGGAGAGCGCAGTATATGTATCAAAAACGGGACGTGAACGGCACGCATGAGGACACGGGCGAACCGCAGGACAGGGACGAGACGCTAAACGCGTACGGGACGGAGGCAGATGCGAGCAAGATTAATAGGGACGATCGGGACCAACTGAAAGGAAAGGCAGGAGAGTCCAGCGCTAGATAAGAAGCGAGACGAAGGTGGGCAATACGAGGCGAGATGTTGCGGTGGGATGAGGAGGGGAAAGACGAAGCGCGGCAAGATGCCGGCAGTGATAGGGCGTGGGCGAGAGCGGGGGAGCGGGAACGGCGAGGTGGGGTGAGGGGAAACGAGCAGAGGTGGGCGGGGGGGCGAACCACACGGCGGGCCTGGGGGGGTGGGAGAGAAGGGCCGAGGAGAAGAAAGGCTTGACGTGACCGGGGGCGGGAACGAGGGCGTGGAGGGGCGAGGGAGGCCGAGGCGGGGGCGGGCGTGGGCTTCGTTCGCCTGACCGAGCCGCTTTTTTTACCGGGCGCGGTTGCCGCTGGCAGTGGGCAGCCCTCGTTCGCCCACCTGGCGCCGCCCGCGCATGACGCCAGGCGCCCGAACAGCCTCCGCTCGGCGCCGCGCCAGACGCTGCGGGAGAAGGCGATCGGCTTCATCAGTGGTTATATGAGGACGGGGTTGGATGGCAAGAGGTTAAGTGGGGGGCGGGCTTTGAGGACCTAAAACATCAAACTTTGGGTATGTTTCTACTGTAATCGTGCTTTCATTTCTTCCTTCATGTGAACTGGTTTATTTGAGGACGGGGTTGGATGGCAAGAGTAAGTGGGGGGCGGGCTTTAGGACCTAAAACATCACTGTGGGGTATGTTTTTCTACTGTAATCGTGCTTTCATTCTTTCCTTCATGTGAACTTGGGCCTTTCAAAACCTTCAGATTTGACCCGTTTCCTATAATCAAGAAAATCTGTCTTTACTTATCCCGAAATCGCTGAACCGACCCGAATGCTAAAAGGGCTGGAAT